TAACTGTTCAAACTCTTTATGAATAAAGTAGTTTGATTAGATGATGGGGTCCATCAACAATAAAGTACTTAACCTTGATTATAAACCACATGTGAAAGTATATTTAAGCCACGAACTGAGAAAGAGCTTTTTTATTTTTTAAAGTATGTTCTGCCTAGCCATGTTAACTAATGTACTAATGTAAAGCCAAAGGATTGCCTGACCAGTTGTTTCATCCAGAAATTCAATCAGATAATCCATCTGACTAATCGGTTAAGTCTTTTTTATTCATTTTAATTGATTTACTTTTGATAATAGTTTACCTTTAAATCCATCTATGGAGTTCCTAGGTCTATCAATATTTAAAATTAGGTGTCTTAAAGGTAACTCATTTGTAAATAACATACAGATTGACTAAAACATTTTCTTGCTATAAGGGTCTCTAGATAAGTTAATACTATATTATTATTACTAAATCCAGTCATTGAATTTGTGGAATCTGATCCAAATACATTTATTTTTGGATTCAAGTAATTAGATTTGATCAAAACTTGAAGGAAAGTATAGAATTTGCAGTAGGAGATTTGTCAAACCAAATAGATGCTAGTGTGGTCTTCATGTAGTTAAGTAATAATGTAGTTATGTAATAAATGGAGAATTTTTTTAATTGATATTATTAGAGCTCTCTTCAGAGGATTTTTTATTTATCTTTTATATTTTCAGGTGAGGTTTCTTGATTAAAGTCATGCCCCCCTGATTTATAAATCTTTAACATTTTATATTTGAACCTCTGTATTGATACGAGGTTTTTTAATAATTTTTTTTTATTCTAAAGATGCATTATTTGTTATTTTTCTTTTCCCTACTTTAACCGGTCATTCTGTTTCTAACTTGTCAGTTTAACATATTTTTGGTCGCCTGATTTTTCACCAACCTTATGTCTTTGAGATCTGAGCCAAAAATAAATAAAACAAGTTGTAGCACCTTAATATCTTAAGAACAAATGCATAAAATGTGAACTCCAGTAAAACAGTTTTTAACTTTTTTAACTTTAATAGAGAGTTTTTATATGTATTAAGTAATATGTTGCACGTATATTATGCTATATTCAAAAATTTGTCCAGCTTACCTTCCCACGGTTTGACAAATTTTTATTTTGTTTCTTTTCGATTAGAAATGTCTTTGAACTTATTCCAGGCAGTTAAAATTTAACAGCATTCATTGAAATATAACTACAGGGGTGTAGGAACTGCATACGAAACAAACAAAGCATTGGATTGAGACCCTTGTTTCAATACCAAGTCAGCCAATAACAAGATTTCTTTTACAGGTTTATGACATCTCCTACAAAAAACATATAATTTAAACTGTTTTGAAATTTTTTGTTTAAAATACTTAATATTGTATTATTTCCTACCCAGTGGGCATGACGTCCAAAGACGTCTAGCAGACATCCAAAGACACCTAGCTGGCATCGAAAGACGCTAAGCTGACATGTCCAAATTTAGTCTAATGGATGTCCTATCAATGTCATCTGACTTCCTGTGCCTATTAGGTTTCCATTTGAAATTTACTTTTTAATATCATGTCAAAAAAATAACTTATCAGTATTATCAGAAATAAGCAAATTTTTCTGAATGTATAGGCTTTTCCTTAGTACATCTCTCAGTGTAGGTACTTCAGTTTCTATATACACTTTTCCTACTCCATAATTTTGGAATATGTTTAACCAAAGTTCACATTTTTTTTAAACAGGAAAATCAGGATGTTAAAACCCTATTTTAAATATATTTACAGTTTTATAGAAAGTGGAATTCGAAATATAGATATTGTAAAAAACCTAAAATAAATATAAAAGTAAGGGTTTTTTTTAAAAAAAAAGATTATCAAATGAGTGTTATGTTTTTTACACAAATTTTGGTAAATTTGTTCATATTGGGTATTTAATTAACAAGTTTCTGCTTCCTTTTTCCATTTTATTTGATAAATTTCTGTGTCCTTTTTTCAGCTTATCACCCAGTTTTTTAAAAAAGTTCTTTGCATTGAAACATAAAATTTTATCATGCATACTCTATTTTCCTCTATCCTCTAATCCTTTATCCTATATATTTTTAAATAATATTTTTTAATGTATGCAAAAGTATAAATACATCAAACCCATTTTTTTAGGCCTTTATAATGTTTATATTTTTTAATTCAAACTCATAAATTATAAGCCTAAACTCATTTAAAAGTATTTTTTTGTTGGATATGTCACTGTAGCAAGTCTTCTCAGTAAACGTGTGCAGTTTTTTGTCTCGTGTGACCACATGTGAATATTTTATTTTAGACAACTTGGTGACAGCTGTTTGCAATTTTAAGAAAAAAGTTATAGAAATTAATATTTTAAATAGTTTGTGTACTGTTTTTATTTTTGTTTCTTTAGAACTATTGTTATTTTCAGCAACAAAATTAGATAAGGCAAACCAAAAAAAAAAAAAACAATTTTAAGTCTACATAAAAATTTTTTCTTTTAATTTTTTTTTAAAGAGGAAAGCAAAAATATAAATTTCAATATATTTGTATCATTTTAATGTAACAAGTGTATATTGTTCTATATGAAATTGCATTAAATACATGCATATACTTTTATGTATAACTTTTTTTATTATATAAATATATTATTTGTTTTTATTTATATGCACTTCAGCTTATCTGGATGAGGCATTGACTTCCTAAACAAAATATCTGTGGTTCAAGACCCGCCTCATCCAGAATTTTGTTTTGTTTTTTTACACATGCATACAGCCAAATGTTATAAAGAAACGTGTCTCTGCTTGAAGATTAGGAATAAAAAAGGGAAAAAAAAAAAAGGTAATATGAAACATTTAAGGCTATGTGTAGGCAGCACAACCTAATTGAAGCTAAAAAACTATGTATATATGTGTGTGTGTCTTACTTAGAAAATACACTGAAAGGCTTAAATGATATAAAAAATTTGAAACTTTTTTCAGCAACATTTAACATAATAAAACTGCCTTGACCAAGTTGTCTAAATTAAAATACTGATGGATATACAAGACAAAAAAACGGAAAGACTTACTGTAGGGTGGTCCAGAAAATATTTCAGAGTCACCCATATTAAAGTTTTTTCCATTTTTTTTACCATTATTGTCTAAAAACAGTTTTTACAGATTTTTTATCAGAGGTCCCTCTGAATATACGCTTCATTTTTTTGTTTTTAGAAATATAATAGGCAAAGAAAGAAAAAAGGTTTGGTTTTGTTTTCAGTTGCTTCCAGTTGTATTGCTCAAGTTTTATGAAATAATTGAAATTGATTGTATAGGCAAAATGTTAACTTGTAAGAAATGTGAGCAGTCACCGTTTTAGCAAAGTTTTGAAGACAAAGTGTCTGATGAACCAAAAGAAAATTTACTTCTTTAGGATAAGAATAAAAGCAAAACTAGTCGTACCCCTAGAAGTAGTTCAGTATCTATAGCTCCCATAAAGCACTCCAGGGAGATCTCTGACAAGAAATTTGACAGATTTCTGATTAATTGGTCATCCTTTAACATGAATTGTCTTATTACAAAAGTATGATAAAGTAAATGTCAAAAATAAGGTAAATAATCTGGGTATTGCTTATGCTGCAGTTGATGCTGTTGTTGTTTTTTGGAATACTGCATGTTTAAATACTAAAGCAAAACAGAATTGCATGAAAAATGTCATGAAGCTTTGAAATAATTGGCAGAGTTTGATGAAAATTTAAAGAAAAAAAAAACTGTTTTTTGCAACAGAAGAGAAATATTTATTAAACCATTGGATTCTCTTATTGGCATTAGTGCACCAGACACAATTGATGAAGTTAAAAAAAAAAACATGAGTTTTGTCAGGCAGAAAAAAACAAGATGATATCCATTTCAATTTGGACCAACAACAGGAAAAAAAAATATTCATGGCAGGTATGATAAAATATTTTAAACCAAAGCTGAAATGAAGCAAGAATTACAGAAAGAGAACAGTGCAGGTTGGAAGAACAGGCCGAAAGAGTTACAGCTTTATTAGAGAATAATTTGGAGACAGTGACACAATTAAATAAAAAAGATGACCAATTTGAAACTGACTTCCAACTAAAATTAACCTGCAACAAGAAGAAATAAAAACAGGTCAACAGTCATTTTGTAACTCTTAAGCTACCTAAGAAAATAATGCAACATGACTTCGGCGCCAAATTTGGCTTTGATAACTAGTATTATTCATTGTCTTAACCTTTCAAACGATCACACTATAATGATTATATCTGCAGTAATATAGTCTTGTCCTTATTTTAGAACTTGTTGTTCCTGCTGTATGGAAATTGTTGCTTGGTAACAAAAATCATCAAGCAATTCTTTTTAGTAATTATACACATGAATAACTTTTTTTATATTAGATGTTGATGAATGCACAGCTTCAAACAAACCCTGCAACTCGACTAGCAATAATTTGAATAAGCTTGGTAATGATCAGTAGTACTTGTCAGAAGATGTCACCTCGTTTGCATTGTTTAGTAAACATCCCTAACAAATGCACCAAAGAAAGAAATAACAGATAAGTTGCTTTTGAATACAATCACAAAAAAAAATTTTTGCAACATCATTTTAGAAATCATATTTTTCTTATTAAAGATGAAGGAACACGTTGCATTGAAGATTTATTATTTGTTTATTTTTTTAATGTTTTTATATATTACTTTAATAACGAGGGTGTATACAACCCCTAGAAATATTGTATTATAATAAAAATTACTCATCATTCAATCAAGTCTCATTCTTTCACTGTTTTTCTAAGTGCTCCAAAAGTTCTTACTTAAGTAGTGTTTTTCCTCAAACATCAGTTTTTCAGAATTTGCTTCCTTCATCTTGTGTTCCTGATTCATATAATTTGCAACATTTCAGTTTTATATATGTATATATATATATATATATATATATATATATATATATATATATATATATATATATATATATATATATATATATATATATATATATATATATATATATATATATATATATAAATATATATATATATATATATATATATATATATATATATATATATACATATATATATATATATATATATATATATATATATATATATATATATATATATATATATATATATATATATATATATATATATATATATATATATATATATATATATATATATATATATATATATATATATATAGATGTATACAACAGTATTCAAGGGACAGTTAGATAAGTATAGAAATGGATGTTATTAAATATAAAACTTTGAAGTTCAGAGATCAAAATTAAAATTCAATAAAAATCATCAATAAATTTATTTCAGTGATTATACATATAAAATAACTTTTTTTACGTTAGATGTTGATGAATGTACAGCTTCAAACAAACCCTGCAACTGGACTAACAGTATTTGCATAAACACTAATGGAAGCTACCTTTGTGCATGTGAGTCTGGATGGTTATTGGATAAAAATAATGACAGCTGTGTTGGCAAGTTTTTTTTGTTTCAAACATATCAAACTTTTTATAAATAAAACTTACATAGTTATCTAACAGTATCTAAATAACAATTAAAAAAGCAAGAAAAAAGTAATTATTAAGTATCAAACTGGTTTCATGTTTAAAATTACAATATTGAACAAATTATTAGAAATCAAGGCAAAAAACACTGTTTTTATGATTAATTGATACTGAAAACGAGGAATCTTGTTAAAAACTTAAAATTTTGTCCTCGTATTCGGTATGCATTCAGTTTTGTCTTAAATTTTTTCGTTTCCCAAAAGTTGATGTTTTTTGAAAAAAATTGCTTTTTCTAGACCATACGATTGGAATTCATTTGCATGGTCTAGGAAAAGTTAAAGGTATCATTCATCTGTGTGCAAAATGAGATTGAAATGCTTTAAAGGCAAAGGCTTTGAGGCAAAGAGGATTGGAAAATGTGGCTGTAAAAGAAAAAAAACTCCACACGCATTCAGGAGAGTTTAAATGCCTTGCCAGTCTGACAAAAAGGCTTAATGAAAAATTCATCTTCTTTTGGAAGTGGAAGGTGTAAAGACAAGTCAGATGGCTGTTGGTCATATATTGCTAGAAGCTAGGCTTTGTGCTTACTACACAAGAAAAAAACCTCAGTTTACTGAGAAAATGAGGCTAGCATGCATGAAATGGGCCCTGTTGAATAAAGACTGGAAAGATGAAGACTGGTCAAAAGTCATTTTTTCAGATAGGTCTTACATCCAAGTATTAGATAACAAAGTTAAGACTGTAAGAAGAAGACAAGGAGAGGAGTTCAGGGAAGATTGTTTACATTGGGTTAAATTAAAATTCCCCAAAAATATTATGGCATGGGGTGCAATGTTCACCTAAGTGACAAGTTGTCTACACATTGTACAAAGGACAATGAATGCAGAAAAGTATATTAAAGTGCTTATTACCCATTTAAAGCACCAAATACCAGACTGATTCTAGGATGGCACTTGTGTTTTTTAGCTGGGTACAGCGTTATGCAACACTAAACAAAAAGTCTACCATTAGATGACAAAAAAAGAACATATTCCCATGGCCAGGAAGTTCCCCTGATATTATTCCTTTATAGCCACTTTATGATCTACTTAAAGATAAAATCTATGAAGTGTCAATTGTTCCTCATTGACCTTCTGATTTATGTGTGGTTTCATGATGATGAGATCAAGGACATTCGTGGCAACTTAATAAGATGTGTGTCAGGTTCAGTGCAGACCATAAGTGGCCACATAAAGTTAAAGCCTTAGCTAGACACATAAAATATATGAGCAACATTCCTTTAACATCTATAAGTTTATATGTATAATATAAGATAAAATGTGTGTGCTATAACTGTTTTAAATATTATATGTGTTTTCTCAACAAAAGTTTCTAATAATTTGTTCAGTACTGCATATCCCCAAATAAATCTTTTTTTCTAGTAACGCATAAAAGGGTGTTATCTAAAAAAAAAATATGTAAATTTTTATTTATAATATTTATCTAGGTATCCAACAGTATTTAAGTAGCATTTTGATAAGTATAAGAAAGGACACTATTAAATATAAAACACCAATATATTCTTTTTGTTGATTACACACATAAAAATATTATGAATTTTTTTATGTTAGATATTGATGAATGTGCAGCTTCATACAAACCCTGTAACTGGACTAACAGTGTTTGTATTAACACTAATGGAAGCTACCTTTGTGCATGTGAATTTGGATGGTTACTGGACAAAAATAATGACAGCTGTGTTGGTAAGTTTTTTTATTACAATGTTTCAAGTGTATTTAATTTTTTAGCTATAAAATTTATATTCACACAAAAGAGTGTTAATTAAAACATGTATAAATTTTTAGTCATAATATTTGTAGAGGTATGCAACAGCATTCCAGAAATTCCTTGATAAGTATAAGAAATGATGTTAACGAATTAATATTGATTAGTAAATATAAAACTGAGTTAAGAATAAAATTATTTCATCAATAAATACTTTTCTTTTAATAATACATAAAAGAATGACATAATAATTTTTTTGTATAAGATGTTGATGAATGCACAGCTCCAAACATACCCTGCAACTGGGCTAACAGTGTTTGCATAAATACTAATGGAAGCTATGTTTGTTTATGTGAGTCTGGATGGTTATTAGAAGTAAATAATAACATCTGTGTTGGTAAGTTCTTTTTTTAAACGTTTCAAATCTATCTAATTTTTCATAAGTTAAAAAATTTATAGGGGTATCTAACAGTATCTAACAGTAACATATTTTTTAATTATAATATTAAAAGGTGTATCAAACAGTTACCAAGTAACAGATAAGTATAAGAAAGAAGTATAAGAAAAGTATGAGAAAGGACTATGAGAATGGACATATTAATGAATATCAAACTGAGTTTAAGATTAAAATTCTATCACCAATAAATCCTTTTTTTTGAATATTACGCAAAAGAGATCAATAACTTTTTTTTTTTATATTAGATGTTGATGAATGCACAGCTTTAAACAAAGCATGTAACTTGACTAACAGTGTTTGCACAAACACAAATGGAAGCTACTTTTGTGCTTGTGAGTCCGGATGGTCATTGGATAAAAATAATGACAGCTGTGTGGGTAAGTTGTTTTATATTTATGGTATCTTATTGGCATATAAATGATAGTTTGAAATATGAAAAATGTTGGAGTTGGAGAAAAAAAATTCACTTTGAATTATGATTATAATCAAATCAAATCATTCTGAAACAAGTTATTTAACATTTCAAGGATATTTACAATAGTACGAGTACTAATGCAAAGCAAATACCTAATTCAATATATCAATATAGACATATATTATTAGTAATATATAGAAATATATTAATAGTAATAATAATTTTATATTAATAATGTCAATACTACTAACAATCAAAACAGCAATAAACATTAAATCAATATATATATATATAGCAACAAAAAGTAATAATGATAGTAAAATAGAAAATAAAATAAAAATGAAAATAATAAAAAAGTTAATATTACTATCATCTGAAAACAAAATAATAATGATAAGAATAATAATCATGTTATAAAATTCAATCATAATAAAAAAGAATAATAATCATAATAAAAAATTTTTAATAACGATGATAATATTAACCAAAAAAATAATATAAACAGAAATGAAAGAAAATAAATTGATGATGAGGATAAATAAGTATTCAAGAAAATCCTCGTCAATAACAATGATATTGTACTAACAATAAAAATAGCAAAATGAAAAATGTATATATATAAAAGGAAAAGCAGAATAAATAACCAAGAAATTAGAGATAAGAAAAGCCTTGGTAGATAGAATTTGATAAATAGATAGAGAATTTAGAGTTATTGAGGATAGGAGAATGAAAAGCCAGAGGAATACTAATTTATAAATATTATAGGGAGTTTTTACTACAGAGATATTTATTTGTATTTTATTAACAAGCAATTGAAAAGCTTGACCTTGAAGTCAGAATTGAGTTTAGAGATTTTAAATCAGGGGGGAGAATGTTCCATGCACTTATACTTTGGTATTTAATGGATTTATATCCATACTTGATAGAATGGTATTTTAGAACAGGTAGGTTTAAATTGTTAAACAAACGAAGAGGATATTGACAGTTTAAACATTTGTTATAAGAATTGTTGAACGATGCTGGAAGGTTATGGTGATGGTAATACCGGACAAATTGACAGTTAAGGAATATAACAAGGTCACTTAATTTTATTATATTAGAAATACAGTACAGCACACTAAATTTAAAGTTATTAGATTGAAAATATATTATTTTTAAGGCTTTATTTTGAAGATTAGATAGCCTTGAAAAACTATGTTTTTAGGATTGTCCCCATATTTGACATGCATATCTTAGACAAGACCCAAAAAAAGCATGGTCTATATTAAGCAAAGCTTCTAAATTTACATAATGGTGGACTTTGGCTAACATTCCATTTGATCTCCTGAGTTTTATTGCCAAGTCATTTAGATGGTTTTTGAAGGAAAGATTGGAGTCAATTTTAATACCAAGATATTTGATAGATCCCACAGGTTAAGTTTTCTGTCCGCTTAGTCTAAAATTTGAGTGCTTTTTAATAGGTGTTAGACTGGATTTAAAGATGATGAAGAGAAAAGTTTATTAGATCGAAGCCATTGAACAAGATTTGAGAGATCATGATTTATATATTTGTTGATTTTTTTTAGCCATCTGTCAATCAGTAGCATGTTAGTATCGTTCGCAAAGTGGTAAGCAGTTGCAAATTTAAAAGAAGTATTTAAGTCATTAATAAAAATAAGAAACAGAAGTGGTCCTAAAATTAAACCTTGAGGGACACCATTTAAGCTTTTTTTTATGACAGAATTAGTCCCATTAATGAAAACAAACTGTTTTCTATTGTTGAGATAAGAATTAAAACATTTAAGTAGGATGCCTTTGATTCCATAATACTTCAATTTTGTTAGAAGTATTGAGTGATCTACAGTGCCAAAAGCTTTTTCCAAATCTACAAACACTCCACATGCAAAGTGCTTGTTATCCAGAGCTTTTCGAATCCTAATTTCAATGAGTGCAAGGGTTGTGGAATGTTTGCTTTAGAATCCATACTGATGTTGGTAAGAGCTTTTACATTTTTCTAGAAACTTGTGCAGCCTGTTATGCCTTTTCAAAAAGCTTGCTCAAATTGGAAAGAAGGGAATCGGGTCGATAGTTAGTGTAATCTAGAAGAGAGCTTTTTTTGAGGATTGGAACAACTCTAGCTACTTTGAATACATCAGTGAATGTGCCACTTTTAAATGAGTTATTAATAATAGTGCAAAGTGGCTTTGAGATAATGTGAGATGTAAGTTTTAGAAAAAATGAGGGTAGGCTGCTAGGACCATAGCTTATGTTATTTTTTTAAGTATTATTGATAAAATTAGATACCTCATCTTCACTCACAGGATCAATAAAGAGGGAATTAGTATTTGGCATATTAAGAAAGTCTCTAAATTTGCTTTTTATTGGTCTGATTTCCCTGTGTAGTTTTTTATTGACAGAAATAAAATAGTTTTTAAATATATTAGAGACAGTAGTATGGTCTGTGATAATATTTCATTCAAATCTAGTTGAAAAGGTTCATTGTGGGATGATGATTTAATGTTAATGACTTCTTTAATGCCTTTCCATGTTTTTTTAATGTTGTTAAAGTTGTTATTGAAATTTATGTAGAAGGATTTTTTGCTACTTTTTAGTAAGTTGCTAATTTTTATTCCTATAACATTTAAATTTTTTAAAGAGTTCGTTTTTATTGTATATATTTTTACATCTTGCAAATTTTTTGTAGATACTATTTTTTACAGATATAAATTTAAGTATTCTTTCAGAGATCCAGGGTTTAGAATTTAGTAGTATTTGATTCTTGGATAATGTTTGAAAGGGGGCATGATGGTTTAAAATTTTCTCAAATGTCCTTAAGAAGTGATTGGCAGATTGATTCACATCATTGTCTTTTTTAATCAAGATTTCCCAGTTGATTTTAGAGATGACCAGAATAAATTTGTTGGTATCAAAGTTTTTAAAACTTCTTCTTGAAATTTTAACTTTGTTTGGTTTACTGGCTGTGCAAGAAACGCATACAAATTGTGCCATGTGATCTGAAATAGAAATAGTTAAGTTACCAGAGAGATGATCAGTAGAGTGGAAGTTCATGAAGACATCTTCATGAACTTCCACTATCAATGAGTGTTTGTGATTTAGCTGGTAGATGGGTAGGTAGGATTATAGAAGCTGGTTGGTGGGTAGGTAGGATTATACAAGGGTTAAAAGAATAAGAGCATAAGGAATCAAAGTAATTAGAGGTAGGATTTGACTCACTATGATCTAATAAATCTATATTAAAATCACCCATTAAGTAGGTGGAAGTGAAATTCTTTTGACTCATTGATGGGTGACAATATATGCAGCCAATTAGAATATTAGTTTTGTGGGGCTTAATGATTTCAACAAAAACAGACTCTAGTAATTTTGGTGCATATATCTTGAGATCATTACAAACTACATAATTTAAATTTGATCGAAGATATAAAAGAGTTGTTAAGAGATATAAAAATATATAAATATATGAAAGAAAAAAATATATATTGTTCTTTATCAATCCAAAATCTAAACTTTCTTTCTGTTGTTTACTTACTTTATATCTTTGATTATATTGGTCACTCTCTATTCTTTTTTTCTAAGATATAATTCTTTTTAGTTTGTTTGTTTTTGTCATAATTTGTGTTATTATTAATATTCGTATATAGATAAATTAAACTTTTTACTCCTTTGCTACTTTAAAAACATCGCCATATTAACTGCCATCTTTAACGGCCATCGTTAACCGCCATTTTTTTGCTTTCCATATAACCAATATAATCAATGACCGAGATATAAAGTAATTAAACAGCAGAAAGAAAGTTAAGATACACATACTGTAGAATAAATATAGAAAATTTAAACATTTTTTATTTTTTTTGATTCTTTCAATTTTTTAGATTCTCAATTTTTATGATTTAGCCTTCAATTTTTAAGTTTTTATTGAAATGTATCTTTCTTTAAATTAACTTTCAAAAAGTAATGTAATTTCAAAACTTTGGGTTAATAATTTAGGCAAAAATTTTTGCCCTCTTAATTGTTTTTTGAAAACTGAATGCAATGTTTCTGTTGCCTGTTCATTGAAGTAAATCAAAGTAAATGCTATGGCATTGAATAAATCCCAAAAATATGGTAGAAAAAAGCCTACATGCTTTAGGAGTCAAAATGAGCTCTGGAACATTGTAGAAACATGCTATTTCTACAATGCTCATTGTAGAAACAGCATGTTTCTACAATGAGCTCTGAAGGAACAGCATGTTTCTACAATGAGCATTTCAGAAATAGCATGTTTCTACAATAAGTATTGTAGAAACAGCATGTGCTTCAGGATTAGCAATTAATTTTGAAATATGGTAAAAAGCACCATATGTATTAGGAGTCACAATGACTAAAAAGAAGAAGTATGATTTCTTGAACTGCTAGATTTTTTTCACAAATCTGTCATTAAATGTTTGTTCAAAACGTAAATTAACAATGCTTCTGAGGTTTCTTAAAGTTGTAATAAAACTTTTTTTTTTAATTTAGACTAAAAGCCTAAAATATTTTTAAAAAAGTTACTGCTCTCATTTTACATGTTGCATAGTCTACATATAAATGTTTCCAAAAGCTGAGGGTAATATCATTCTCAAATAGTTCTGGAACAAAGTAGAAAGCACCATATGCTTTAGGAGTCACAATGTCAGGCAAGAAGAGGTATAGTTCCTTGAACTGCTAAATTTATTATAGAATCATTTGTGACACTTTTTGGACGTTTATTTTATGATAAAAATAATTGAATTTTAAAATTTAGATTTTTATTTTTAGAATTTAGATTTTTAGAATTAGATTTGAAAAATGTTGACTCGAAGTAGTTAAAAGCATGAGCTACAAACTTTGCAAAGTACTGATAATGAAGTCTAATAAACCAAAAAAGAATACAATTTTCTCAAGATAAAAAAGTAAGTAATCCTAGGACCCCTAGCTCACATAAAAGAACTCCAAACAGACCTG